AAGAGCTAATAGAAGTACTTCCTTAGGTCTGAAGTCATGCCCCATTGGTATACACGCCAGCAAGGAGGGCCTGAATGGACATTTTCCCCCATGCTTTAGGCACAGTTGCTGCTAGTTCTGAATGAGACTATCAGTGCAGTTTCTAACCCTAATCCTGCCTAATCTTGGTGTGTAAATGGCAGAATTTTGGGTGTAAGTTATGTGATGCCCCTGCTTACTCCAACAGCTTCATGACTGGATAAGTAATGCCTGAAATTCCACAACTGGGAGTGTTTTACTCTGCCCTCTCTTAAAACTTCAGACTCTGTAATGAACTTGAGGTACGAGGTCTGATTATTTATTTAGACCTGAAGGTGACTTCATCAAAGCCCTTCCAGCTTTGCTAAGGCAGAGGAGAGAAAGCATCCTCTTCTGCTGACATAACAATGAATTGGGACACAGCAAAGAGGAGATCTGTGGCACCTTATACCTACATGAGCTGCAAACCTTAGGCGCCGTCAGCATCTTGTGCTCCCAGCAGCCTCCCCATCCAGAGGAAGCAGAGCTTCCCTGACTCCCATCCTCCCCAGCTACCACTCCAGTCCTCAGGCACAATGGGAACGCACAACTGGCACTAGCTAAGGGAGGTTCTAACAAGTGCTGCTGCTATTTTCAACATAAGGTTTTCTCAAAGCCTTTTAGCAAGTTCTGATTTGAACACAGCTTCTAACCCCAGGAAATGCTAACATTTATTAGAACATTTAGTTTTTCATTTCATAAAACTTCATTACATTTTTCCAATGTTAAGAAACTAGTTTATTATTTAGAACAAAATAATCCTAAATGAAAGAAACCAGCCACAAAAGACCATATACTGTATAACTCCATTCATAAGACACGGTGCAGGAGAGGCAAAACTATAGAGACAGAAAGTAGATCAGCGGTTGTCTGAATTTGGGAAGTGGAGGGGAGCAAGGTGAAGACTCACTGCGATGTGTCTCGATGAAGAGATAAAAATGTTCTAACTTGAGGCTACTGTAAGTTGAAATATGTGAAAACCACTGACTTGTACACTTTAAAAGAGTAAACTCTATTGTAGGTAAGTTGTATCAATAAAGCAGTTAAAAATCAGAAATAAGAACAATGCCACAACAACAAAAAGCCCATCTCTTCCTTGAGGAGTTTACAGTTTAAGGGGCGCAAGCTCAAGCAGACAGAAAGAAATCAAAGCTGCACGAGGGGTAGGCAGAGCGTACTAAGGAAACACGAAGAAAGGACACTTCGATCAGTATTAAGAGAACCACAGAAAAGTCCCTGTCCCTGCTAACCACAGCAGCTACGGAGAAGCACTGAGCAGAGAAGGAGCCAGACAGCACAGGATTTGCTGAGTCCTTGCTCTGTGTAAAACACTGTAGGGCAGAAAGATGAATGGGTCGATCCTGAGCCTTGAGCAGCTCAGTTTTGTGAGGCAGAATATAGAGAAGTGGCTATAAATAAGAATATTCGGTGACAGCGTAATGATACACATAGGGACATGGAAGTCACAAAAACAGAAAATAAAAGTGACAAATCAGGTAGAAGGCAAATAAAAATGAGCTTGGGGCTTGACAGATGAGCCATCGAGCCGGGACCTTGCCAGGTGCTTTCCACCCCCTGGTGCTCTCTGTGAGCTTCTAGGATTCCGTTCTGCTCCTGCTGCTGTTCTGCTCCTCATGACTTTGCCATTGTGAGAGTCACGTGAGATCAGAGACAGAGAAGCTGTGAGTAGATGGGGCAATGAGGCAGGAAGGGTCTCTCCTAAGCCAGCTCCCACAGATCGGCTTTATCAACCTGTGCATTTTCAGAAGAGCACAAAACTGCCCACTCTCCTTTTACTGTGCTCTTTATAGTTGTAAAAGTTGCAGTGCTTGTTACTCTGCAGGCCGAACGCTCTCAGGATCCTCCCACCTCCGCGACTTCCAACAGTTCAGTCACTGTCACCTCTCGAGAGAAGCCTGGGAGTCACCGCCCCGACATCCCCTCCCAGCTCTGCCACTGCTTGGCTTAGGCCTGGAATCACGTTCTGCACATGTTTAGACAAGCACCTGGCAGAGGCACCTGGAGATATGGAACCTGTTATTCTAAAGGTTCTTCCTACTGCTATGAATCAAAACTACGGGGAATAGTTTTTAAAAACTAATTCAGTGGCTGTAAGATTGTTTGGTACTTCTCTATTGTTTGTTTCATTGTGAGGGTTCAAGTGCATATGCACACAATGTGTACATATTTTATACATATATACACATATGTATATGTGTTTATAGGAGTATGCATGTGTTTCTGCTGAAATAATCCAGAATTCCTGTTTTTAAGTTCCTTATTTGGGGCACACTCTTGCCAGACACAAGCCAAAGGAGGCTTGGCTGTAGCTCAACAATTTTGACTTTCTTGTCTACAGAAGCAACATAACCATTCCCTTCTCAGTAGTGAAGGGCAGGCATTTATTTTCACTGTATTTGATAACAGTTTATTAAAGATGACTGCCCAGGGATGCTTCCATTGGAAGAGAAATTGACTTCAAGGAAGACAATACTTCAAAGACTTACAATGATGCCAGGAATCATAAAAACACCACTTAAGCCAATCACCCACTTGAGATTACCCACTCTTCTGGGAAATCAGAACACAGGATACAATATCTGTATCAGCCCCATCTCATAATGAATAAATAATTGATGCAAAGTATCAATTTATTTGTAGACTGGTGGCCAAGAGAGAGATCTGAGTGTTTACAAATGACATGGCCCTGAAAACTCTGTCTTACTGAAATTGTTCCTGTTCTTGGCAGGAATAAATTGTACTAAGGGTTGTATCCACACCCTTCAAAAACATATTTTGCATAGAAAATGTATTCATCAGTATAGGTATTCTTTGTAGGCAAGTATGAACAAATATCAGGTTTTCTCTAGTATGTATGAACATGTGGTAGAAATCATTGGACACAAATCTGGGTTAGGTGATGACTAAATTCATTTTAAGCTACAAAGGTGTTGTTTCAATTCCTTCCATTTATTTGTAATTCAAACCAAATTTTATCTCATAAGTATACAAAGTAGCTGCAAACAATTTCATGTTCTGCTAACGACATAGGCAATGAATTTTAACAAAAGGCTCATAAATTTTTTTACCGTACTGTAAAACTAGAGAGCTCATGCCCATCAAAACATATGCTTCATGTTACATGTAATTAAGGCAAGGAGAACGTAAAACATAAGCTTTGAAATGTATCTTGTATTACATATTAAATGCACACAAAAAATACTGCTTAAGTTCTAGTTCAAAGGTAAGGACAAGTGGGAATTGTCCTGGTGGACGAATGATCCCCTGCGTGAAAACCAACCATGTTAGTAAAAAACAGGTTGTCACAACTTCTCCAGAGTATATACTACAGTGACGATTAGAGCTCATTTTCTGTTTTTCCTGGTAATAAACAGTGAATACAGTATTAGAAGCACATTCATCAGCGATTTAGTTAATTTAGACTATCATTATTTTTGGCACATGAAGTACTTAAAATTATTCTTTTTTTTGCCTGGTGCAGATTCATTTATAAGTTAATTATCACACATACAGATTAACAGCCAGATTAACTGGCCAAACAGCATAAAAGATCTAGACAATTATAGAAAGTCAAAGATTCCTTCTTCTCCTGCTTCTTTTTCTTTTTTATCGATGGGCAATCAGTTCCTCCAAAATGACTTACATGCTAAGAACAAAGTTTGAAGATATGTCCAGGATCTGTCAAAGATAGCTGGAAAGTGCGCATAAGTCTTTCTTCTAGAATGAAGGCCTGCAGCATCCTTTAAATTCTCCTGTGATTGTGTTGGTCCTTATGGACCACTAACCTGGGTTACGTTTGATTCAGTATTGGTATTTTATATCATTTTCTCATATGCATGTAGTTACTGAAAGGAGACACAAGAATTCTGAAACTCAGACCTTCATCTTCATAGGAAAGAAAACCTCCCAGAGAACAAAGAAACTTTTACAACTAAATGGTAATTAGCAGATATATATGTACATCACGAGTTCTATCATATGTGACCTTTATTTTAATGTTTTTAACTTTTTTCTAATATCCAAGGATAATTCATTAAATTTTTTAAATATGCAAATTATGGGCCAAATAAAAAATGAGAGCCTTTAATGAAAATGAAAATGTCCACCTTGATGTCATGCATTTCAATTTCAGTCTGTAGATTCTAAGCAGATTTGATTATAAAAAGAAAACAAATACAATTAAATAAAATATATAAATATATAATATACCATCACTATTAAATCATCTAGCTTAATGCTAAAAGCTGCATCAAATTGATGCATTTCACCAACCAACCATAAGATAACAAAAATTTACTATGTAGTTGAGAATCAACTGAACACATTTTATATTTATGAAACCATAAGAGTTTTGGATTTTGATGCACCAGTAATCAGCTGTAATTACTTTGCTTTCAAATACTATATATCTAAACGTTATAGTGGATTTCATATAAACTACTTTTTCATGTGACAAGAAGTATATTTTTTATCTCATGTAATAAAAAGAATAATATGTTGTTACACATAAATCACCTAAGGAAATAACTTGGCTAGAGATATTAAATGTCTACTCATAACATAATCCAAAATGCAATACTTTTCCCAGATGTATTACACAGTCAGAAAAAGTCTTTAAAAACTAAATGAAAACAGTTTCTTTGCAGAGTGCTACAGACTTGTGCTAAAATGCCAGTGAACATAAATCAACTTCTAAACCTAATCTACCTAAGTATTACCACCTCATAGAAGTCCTTTTATAATATTTTCTCTTAATGATGTTCTTTTCCTCTTATTAGCTGTGTTTAGGTAATTATGCTGACTTATATTAGATTTACAGACTATGCTCATGCTAAGTTTTAAGAATTAGTATTTCAATTGTATACTAAAGCCTAGTGATCTGACATTTAATAGAGCAATAAAACAATTTTTTTATATTTCAGGGAACATAAAGAAAACAAGTAGAGCACCATTTTAGGAGGACTACATGGTCCATGTCAGCTAGAGAAAACATGAGTTCTACAGTCCCTTACAGCAAGTGAATGAATCATCAAAGAAATATGGAAGTTGATAACAGCAGTTACTGCAGCAATAAAAACATGATAAAAGGCTCTTTGACAGCATGAAACTTTGGAAACGTTGCCAAGTACACAATCTCACTTGCAGGAGCTTGCGGTACCCTGTTGTATTTAGTAGGTCTTTGGGGACTTCTGACAACTTCTGGTTCATCCCTGTAAGCTGAAATGGTCTATTAAAGTTCCTTCCTTTCTTAGAGTAGTCACAGATGCTTGAACTTTAAATATACATTCTGGGAAAAACGCATGGTTAGTCCTCAACTCAAACAAAATGGTGGAATCTGCTGTGCTATTATTTTGTACTTGGATACATGTTTCCTAAGTTATTAACTCATCTTTAAATTATGAGTGAGTTTAGTTATGTTTATTTGCTTATAATATTATCCACTGATTTTGACCATGTTTTTATATTTTTGAAAGGTGAAAATTCAGGGAAAAATTTTAGATGATGATGGTTTCAGTATTTGTTTAAACAAAGGAGACCGTAAGACAATATTTAATAAGATCTTAACCCAGAGTATCTATCTAGGCTCTTAACCTTATTACTGTAGTAAACACCTCTCCCTCTTCCATGCCAAGCTTTGCAACTTAGAAATAACTCTCACTGACACATAAGTTTTGATCCACTTCAGTTCCTCTTCTTGGATTCTTTTGATGAAATGGAGCTAAAAGAAGGAACTTCTGATGCAGAATAACAACCCCCTCACCTCCGTTAACTTCACTGGGACTCTTGCCAGTGATTGCTTCCAATACTTTCTAAGTGGTCATGTTCTGGAGAGAATAATTCTGGGCACACAAGCAACTAACATTAAAAAGACTGAATCACTCAAATGTCAACCAATCCACCAAGAAGTGGTGAGCTCTTCTTTTTCAGGTGTCTGTACAAGATCTTATTTGTCTACTGGCAAAAGTACATTGTGCCTTTAAACACACACACACACACACTCACACGCACACACACGCACGTACACCACAATGTCAACAATACTTGGAAATGTTTATGCAGTTATTCTTCTTGACTTTTAGTAAGATAAATGTTTTCTTAAGTTTAGTTTAGTTTGGATTGGATACTGATCAATTCTTACCAAAAATAATACACTTCCTGTAACTTTCACACCTAAAAATATTCTAAAATGCCTACTCTTATTTTCTTTCCACTCAAACTGGGAACTCACTCAATATATACCAATACATGTGTATATACATAAACATGCAACTATTTCCCCAAAGTAAAATAAAATGTAATTTCTTCAATTAAGAAATAATTAAACTATTTCCTTGAATTTCAGTGACAACTTAACAAAAACTTGTCACTACACTATGTTCAAAAGCTTTGATCATTATGCAGCAGATATTTCATCTGATCATACACTTACAGAATATCACAGTTGGAAAGAACTATATAATTAATCCTATTTAATCACACACCAATACTTAAATGCATGTAATAATATCCCTGCCAAGTGGTCACTGTTTATATGGCTGTATACCTGTAGTCAAAAGGAAAAATGATACTTTCTGAACACAGATTATAATTAGCAAGACATTTATTAATAATATCATTACAATTGCTTCCAAAATTATTATTACTTCAATAGCGAAGAGGTAAATGCCAGACTAACCTCTGTCTGATGTTTATTACAATTAGATTAACAGTAAATTATAAGAAACACACACTGACTATAATACTGATATAGAACATAAAATGCATTAAATCATGATAAAGTGGCTGCATAAATTGGTAACATTTTATATCATTAAAAAATCTCGGATAACTTAAAAATGATGCACTTAGTTGTATAACTAGAAAAATCTTTCATTTTTAAGTAATTCTGTACCATTGTTTCAAAAATACCTATCATTGGAAAATATATATGTATATTGTTTAATCAAACAATATTTGCACTTAAATATAATTTAAGACAGTTAAATATACATTCGTGTTTATGTTCATATAAATATATATATAAAAATAGAGTATTCGAAGAGTTAGGTACTCAAACTAAAGAATTGATCATTCAAAATAGTTTCACTTTTGTATGATAATGAAATTGAGGTATTTGTACATTTAGTAATTTCAGTTATATATTGGATAAACCTATCATTTTTTTCCTCAAAAAAAATCCTTCAAATGCTAATGTAACAATAGCTTCTCCCACAAAAAAGCATTTGTATAGTAATTTATTTACCATTTTGAAACTAAAGAGATGAAAGTTTTCAATATTTGAATTAGATGTTTACATGTATGATACAGTTTTAATAAAAGTTTTTATGCCATTTCTAAATTTGGATTAGATTCAGTTCCTCAAGAAAATAAAAATACAGATGGTAACTATAGCACTATTTGTGGATATATATAAGTGCTTTATGCTTATGCATTGAGGCTATGTAATCCTTCACAAAATATTTACATTAAATGTGATTGTAACCTTACATTACATAGGTCCATAATGGCAAACAAAAGCTTTATTAAGTAATATCATCAACAAGGCCAGGTGCAGTGGCATATGTCATAATCCCAGCACTCAGGAGGCTGAGGCGGGAGGATCGCTGTGAGTTCGAGAATAGAGGAATAAATGAGGAACTACATTTTGTTCCTCACTTCAGTAACATGTATTTCATCAATTCAGACTGCAGTTGTCCCTCAGCACTCACAGACAGGACAGGGGGAATGTTCATGAAAAACACGAAAAGTGAGTAGTTAGATACACCAATTTATTTATCTATTATTTATTATTTTGGTCTTTTTGAGACAGGGTCTTGCTATGCAGTTCAGGCTGGCCTTGAACTCACTTTATAGCTCAGGCTGGTGTCAAACTTGCAATGATCTCCCTGCCTCAGCCTCCCGAGTGCTGGGATTACAGGTGTGCGCCACCACACCCGGCTTTAAATATACTGATCTTTCAACTGTAAATATTTCACTTTCTAGCTTTCTTATAGGATCTTTTCAAATTCCCTGGGGAGCATCATTTCTGTTCCTTTCCTTTTAATTACTACATTTAAAAAAATAAGAAGAAATGTTTTTCATAAGCATTAAATCCACAAATTTACTCTAAGCCATCATAAATACCGTATTTTCTCCTGGTAAAAGACATAAGTCTAATCCCTATCTTCAAGTGGAATGTAATTGCTTCTTTGCTTTCTTAATATTAGTGTACTACAGAGAAGATAACACAATACTAAACAGCATTAGCCTCTTTCCCATGTAATTCAAGTGTCTATATTTCTGTTTGTTATCACAATGCAATTCTTGGCCCACAGTGGTCCTAGTTCATATTTCAAGTAATCTTTTTCCTAGTTGTCTTTCACTCTGAAACCAACTAACTGTTCAAGTTCAAATATTAATTTTGTAAGGCTATAGGAGATAAGTGTTACTACTGCTTTTTTTTTTTTTAGCTAAGCATGTATTGGTGTGCATATATGTGCTCATGTGCACAAGCACGGGCTCACTCCAAAATATATGAGACACATTGTTTGGGTCATAGATCATCATCCTGTGAGTGGCTTGTCTGTAACTCCCAAGTGCAGTTCTCTTTCATGAAGTCTACGTGACCCTTCCACTGGCACACATCCTGCTGAGCAAGATTTCAGAATAAACCTGATTTATTGGACCTTGGACATGATACGGTGATTCCAAATTGGTTATAGAGTCTTGCTCTTGTGGTTTGCTTTGACTGCTAAAATATTTTCCCACGATATGATTCTTCGATCTTTTCATCTTAATAAAGTGATATTCTTTGGATAACTTTGATTTCACTACCTGCAAATAAAGAGCAAGAAAATAGTGAGACAAAATCAAGGACAATGTTGAGACCTATAGAGATCAATACAACTAACACTCAGACTTGAATGCACCTCTGCCACACAGATGTTGCCAAAGGGCACAAATACGATTTACATAATCAAAAACCAGGGTAATTATGTTTCCAAAAACTCAAGGTCCAAGTTATGATTCCTGTAATTTTCTACCTCAGTGTAAGTGTTGCAAATGCGCCTAAGAGACTGTCTCAGATGATGTCTCCACCACTCTGCCTTGTGTGTGTGTGTATTTAAGTGAGACACACTGATACGTAGTTTGATGTCATACCACAACACAGAAACATTGCTGTGCCTTTGCCGGATCCCTGACTTAAACATGGCACGTACTCTAATTCTGCTATGGCACCCTTCCGTAGAACGGCAACCAAAACTATATTCAGAGAAAAAAATATTCTTCCATTGGAGATACATAAAGTGACACTGATACAGTTTGTGGTTTAACTGCTCTGGGTACTTAGTATACTATAAAATGTTTATTGAGCCTTTACGAAGCGGACAACTTTGTATATTTGTAGCTACATGTATAGCTATGGTTTAATTTCATTTTTGCATAGGTATTATTATAAACATTCACAATGTGTACAAGGGTTTATAATAAAGAGTTTTTGTTTTTCACAGCTTCCCACCCTCAGGCACTCAATTCCATCCTTTTACATTACACATTTTTTGGGATTTATATGTGAGTAATTAATTCATCTGACAAAATGTCCTGATAGAAGCCTATAATTCTCAGCTTTAATTGGGCTAACAGAACTCCGTTTGTCAACACCAAAGAGTAGGGGAGTGTGGTAATGACCAAGAGAGAGATTAGAGGGCAGCTGGGAAATAGCACAAGGAGAAAAGAAGAGAAAATGCTGCTAATGATATTTTGGGTGACTTAAAACTGAAGAGCAGAGCCGGGGCTATAGCTCGGCGGCACAGTACCTGCCTGGCAGGCGCAAGGTCATGAGGTTAATTCCCAATACAAAAAAAAAAAAAAAAAGAATAGCAAATCATGAATTCAATAATTTTAATGTTGGAATGTTTTAACTATAAAGCATTGTCTTCTGCCAATACCTGGGCACAATAAACCATTATTTATGACTAATGAAGTAATACTAGGTCACATAAATTTTCTTATACTTTTCAGTGCTATGTAATGATTTAGTTCCACATTTTTTGATTCCATATAAGAGAAGACAATGAAACTAGTTAAAAAAAATGGAGCATTTGAACAAAATCCCACATAACGTATTTAGGAGGTAAGTATTTTTAGTTACATTGTGATTGAACATGATCTATTTTAACAGTTACTAGAATAGAAAATCTGTACAGATATACACCAAAATGTTAACGGTATTGACTTAATGAGGGATTTCGGGTGATTTTACCCATATTTTGTACCTCTTGATCTTGACTTTTTCCTTCTGGTATAATCAACATACATTACTTTATATTAATAAAAATGTTGAAGTTTTAGCATTTTGAACGAAAAAGATAACAAAATGTATTTTCAAACCAATTACACCTTTCTACCCCCAGAGAAATGAATTGCTTTCCTGTGCTTCAGGAGGTTTGGTTTTTCCTGATCAAGCTCTTGGAGGAAGGGCAGCGAAATCAGCAAGTCACGGTAAGCCTCTCCACGGATTGTAATTTAGAGCTCAGTTTGCTGTTAGCCATCCGTTAATATCCCAAATCCCAGGGCTGCAGTTTCGATTATGTGCAGCTCTTTCCTCCTCTACTCGGTTGTACGGTAACTCCACGTGTAACAGGCCGGCGAGGTGCGCAACGTGTTCCCGAAGGCTTCGTCTATTTCAGGGGAGGTTTGTACTCTTTCGTGCACAACCTTCTGGAGGTTTACTGAAGAAAACACTCAAGTATAAGTATAACATTCAACCCTAAAATAATATTATTCCAGAGTTCTGAAGACAAAAACCGTCAGTTTTGCTTATGTAATGTTGATTTAAGTTCTGCCTTTTGCAATTGCTGGACAGTCGGCATACTAGTAACATATAAAATAAAAATGAGAAAATGTTTAGACATTATTTTAATATTTGGTATGATGTCAAGATTGAGTTTAATGTTACCTTACAAATGCTGGATAATGCAAGGGTAGATATGTGCAACAGGTTTTTTTTTTGTTTTTTTTTTTTGAATTGGTGCTGGGAATCCAACTCAGGACCTCGCGCTTGCCAGGCAGGTGCTTAGGCCGCTGAGCTATATCCCTGGTGACAGTCTTAAATAAGATTCATATATAGGTCCCAAAAATATATACCACAGTGCATTTGCTGAAATGCAGAGCATTCACTGAAAAAGGAGTATGGACATTTTGCCAGATCTCAGTGGGGAGGTGGATGATTTATTTCTATGTTTAGAGCTCACTATTGATCTCTGAGAAAGGAAGATGAGACAACGGAGTCTCCCCCAGTCTCTGAAGCCAAGCTAATGCCTCCTAAAGTGCTAATACTTCTGCTACACTATTTGAGATGGACTGTTACACACCCTTGTTAGTGACTGGACAATGGACCCTATGCCACTATGTCTCTTTGTGGCTTTCTTTGAAAACAATTATGCAGGAAATAGTTATTTTCCTGATTCCTTTGCTAAATCTCTACTTTCTTGATACTGAATCCAGAAAGCTGCCAAATCTATGAATTATTTCAATTTTTATTTGTCAAAATATAGATAATAAAAATCCCCCATAATGTTATTATGCAATTAAATCTAAGAGCACTTTAAAAATCTAGTCGTATTGTGTGCTATACTACTAGCACATACAAGTTATTTCAAGAATGAAAACTGCTTTAAGATTATGAGATATTGGGCTTGGGATATAGCTCAGAGGTAGGAGCACCTGCCTGGCAAGAGCAAGGTCCTGAGTTCAATTCCTGGTACCAAAAAAAGAAAAAAAACAAAAAAACAAGATTATGAGATATTTCATTCCAGGATATTAGCAAAGAATTATGTGATGTTATATGACTGCATACCATAAGACTCTCAATTGTAAAGCTGATACTTACAAATTATAAAGTTTTTCTACAATCTATGAATAATTAATTTAAACACTTAAAAACATCCCATTACAATACAAAATGACTTGACTAAATTCAATAATGAGATGCAAGTGAGGAACACGTCAGAAGTTCAATGAGACATAAAACAATACATGAATAAATACCACGCTTGTGCAAACACATATCATGTCAAAGCTTCCCTCATGGTTACAGTGCTATTTCAATGGTAAGCAGCAGGATATGGGAGGAACTAGACAAATTCTACAATTCGTCCTCAGAAATAATGTAGGAAAATAATCGAGACCATTTGAGACAGATAAAAAATGATAACAAGGGAGCCTTTAAATGCCAGCCATTCATTCATCAGCATGAATTGACTGTACCATCAACCTGGGGTGAGATATTAGTTGTCATGCCTGTGCTTCTTTCCTGGTTCTCACACCTTGCAGTTCCTTTGGAAACCCCTTCTATAATAAGCCAAGTCCCTCTTAGTCGCCATCATCATTGATTTTCCCACAGCTTCTCTAACAAAATGAAAATTTTGTTTTACAAGGAAGGCTTTGCTTCTTTCTTCTTTCCCCTACAACCCCCTGCAGTGTGTTTGGGGTGGGAGGTGGGAGGAAATAGAACGGGAGATAACGGTGGTAATGGTCATCCTGCCATTGTCTGCTGTCTTACTTGGTGCGTGTGTGTGTGTGTGTGTGTGTGTGTGAGTGCGCAGTATGGATTGAACTCAGGGCCTTTTGTATGTCAGCTGTATACTCTCCCACTAAGCTACACCCGTGCCCCACAAAGCTCAAGATCCCCAAGTTCTGACTGCAGGTGGCTTTCTCCAAATACCCTCTTGCCACTTCGGGAGTAGCACTTTTCTATCCCCAGCCTCTTTCGTTCCCGTGAGCAGGTAGTCAGAGTCTGGGTAAACGTGGTAACATATTGTACTGAAGGCTGGGTAACTGTGGTAACATATTGTACTGAAGGGACCTATGTGTTTCTCTTTGTCATTATCTGAGGTCAGAGATTTAAGTGAATAATGTTTGGCACAGAATCTGTCATGCATCGTACACTCAATACATTTTTGTTAAACTGCCAAGTGTATTCTACTTTGTATTATTTTGTTCCTCCCTAGATTAAGGTTGCACATTTCTTTATAGGGAGCAACCTTGAACACCATGCTTTCTAGAATTTTATGGCAAAATAGAAGTGAAAGGCTGAACATAAGAATTCCGTAGTGGTGGAAAAAATGTTCATACTGTAGATTAAACTGTATTTCATAAACTACTACTGTTTCCTAAATGTTTATGAAGAAGTAAGATAATGTAAAGATAGCCCAAAGTTACATAAATCCAGTGACCAGAAATGCTGACAGCCTAATACTTTTAATTGCATAAGATTAAAGTCAAGAATATAGGTAAATGGAGCTATATACCGAACAGCAGATGGTTTGCAAAAGAGAGGGAAGGACTTTTTGTTTTTATTGTTTATACTTAAGTTTCAATTTTACAGTGAACAAGAATTCTTGTAATCCTCTTGCAATGAAAAAGCAGAAGAGAACCAATATAAAGCAGAACCTTGTCAAATAAAATTTTAGTGTTTTCTCCCATTTAATAATATTCATCTTGTAATCTTCAGTGTTCTCTGCACCGGGAAGCACGTGGAGTAACTCAGATATGGTCCCCGCCCTCGAGAGGACTATATAAAGACACATGTCTAAGATACTTGAAGTAAGAATGGGAATGAAGTGACTTCAAAGACATTGTCTGAGACCAGCTCTGCACGGCGGGCACCATGTTATTTCCGTGCAATGAATAGGTCTTAGTATATTCAGGAGACTTAGTGTTATTTATGGTGGGCATGAAAATCTGTTTACATGGTTATTATTTCTTTGAACTCATTTGTAAAAATCAGTAGCCAGCATGGCTATCCAACTGTTATTTGAGTTGCCAAATAG